TCTGTTAGAACGCTTGAAATGTATCCCAATGAAAACAGCCACCAGCGAGGCCCCGTTGCCCCCAAGCTCTGCCTCAGAGCTCAGTCAACTCCTAAGATCCGGCTGATTTGAAGGCAGGATTTGGATGCTAACAATAGTGGCGGCTGGGGGAGCTTTGATAGGAAGTCCCCCCGTGTTAGTTAGAAATACAGAGGCTCAAAGTCTCCACATCGTCTTTACTTCTCCTTCTGTCTTCTATAGTCACCCGGACCCTGAAATCTTTCCTCTTCTGATGTCACTCTTAACACTCCCCGCTCCTTTCTGTCTCCAGTTCTGCAGGGCTTTGGGTTTAGGTGACATTAGCGGCTTCCTAGAATTTTTCTCTTTCTTCTTTCTGTGTTCCCCCTCCTTTCTCTCTCTCTATTTTTAAAATGTGTATTTATTTATTTAAAGAGAGGGAGAGACGGAGAGAGATCGGGGGAGGGGCAGAGAGAGAGAGAGAGAGAGAGAGAGAGAGAGAATCCCAAGCAGGCTCCATGCTGTCAGCACAGAGGCCAACGTCCCCTTTCTGTATTTTGATACTAGATTAATCTTTGTAAAATAGTTGTTCCAGTATTTTGATTTCCCTCCATAGATGTCTAATGACCCCTATATTATTTATAAGCTTCTCTGACCTCATCTGCCATCTGCCTTAAGTGAACTTTCCTCACCTACTGGGTTAGTGACCACCGTCCTCAGAAACCTGTTTGCTCCGTTTCTTCATGACTTTGCTCATAGGGCCTCCTGAGTGTGGTGCCTTTTCCTTTTGCTTTTCCTCTCCAAAGTTGGCTCAGCCCCCACAAGGAGGAGGCCTTGACCTCTGCTTTGTCTGAAGTTCCCATTCCTCCTGCAGCTGGTCGTTTAATTATTCTTGGTATGATGTGTCTCTTGCGAATTCCCCTAGTTCTCAGAGCTGTCAGAACTTTGGGGTTGCCGATGATTCAGACGTTTTTTCACTCCAACTAGATTATAAACTCAAACAGTCTTAATCCGACCCCCTTTCTTCCAAGGTGCCCTCCCCCCACCACTGCTTTGATCGTATTAGAATAAAACGCAAGGTGAAAGTCCACTGGGGGCAATCGAGTTGCCACAGCACTTATTCACTCTGAATGTTTTACGCCTTCACTTTCAGGCCATTTTAGGGGGGGCGCCCCCCGTGCCCTTTGAAGTAAATCACAACCCTCGCTTCCTGTTTGGAGTTCGGAGGAGAACAGTGCCGTGACGGCTCCCCGTACATAAAGGGAGTAGGAGAGCACCCCGGCCAAGATCACAGGCTCCTTGAGTTGAATCAACAGATGACCGTCGATCCCTGGTCTCCCTGTGTCAGAAACGGAATCCCTCTGACAGAAGCAGCAGGACAGGAAAGGCCACAGAGGCAATCTGGGCGATTTATCTGTGTCAGGGTGGATTTCTTTCTCTAGAAGAGCCTGGCTAAACTCAGGGACGACTTCTAATTCCAACACAGTGGCAACACAGTGGGAGCATAATAAATGCTTACTGGCTGTCTGCCCACTGAAAGAATGGCTCCCGGTACCCTTAGCGGTGGGCTGGAGCTCTGATCTCAGGGACGAAATCACCCACAACTTTCTCTTTTCCTTGTCGTATTTGCTTCCTGAAGCCTTTCTCCAATTTCTAGCCAGCCTGGCTTTCATTTCCTGTCTCCTTTCTGCTTCTACCTGCTTTGTGTTTCGTGTGCTTGACTATAGCTACCATTTGGAGAGCAAGCTACTGCGGTACCCTCAAAAATAATAAGGCTTTCCAGTGTGCTGTGGTTTTTATTATTATTATTATTATTATTATTATTTTGCAAGAGGCAGTAGACTTCAAAGGTTTGGGCTAGCATTTAAAAGCAGGGTAGGGGGGCGCCTGGGTGGCGCAGTCGGTTAAGCGTCCGGCTTCAGCCAGGTCACGATCTCGCGGTCCGGGAGTTCGAGCCCCGCGTCGGGCTCTGGGCTGATGGCTCAGAGCCTGGAGCCTGTTTCTGATTCTGTGTCTCCCTCTCTCTCTGCCCCTCCCCCATTCATGCTCTGTCTCTCTCTGTCCCAAAAATAAATAAACGTTTGAAAAAAAAAATAAAAAAAAAATAAATAAAAAAAAATATAAAAGCAGGGTAGGGGCGCCTGGGTGGCGCCTGGGTGGCTCAGTCGGTTAAGCGTCCAACTTTGGCTCAGGTCATGATCTAAGAGTCTGTGAGTTCGAGCCCCGTGTCCAGCTCTGTGCTGACAGCTCGGAGCCTGGAGCCTGCTTCAGATTCTGTGTCTCCCCCTCTCTCTGCCCCTCCCCTGCTCGTGTTCTGTCTCTCTCTGTCTCAAAAATAAATAAGAACATTAAAAAGATTTTCTTTTTTAAATAATAAAAAAAAATAAAAGTGGGGTGGAAATAATGGGCATTCAGATGCCTCGGGCAACTGGAAAACACCTCTAGCCTAGCAAGATGTAAGTGGTGTGGTAGAATGTGTTTAGAAAATGAACTTAGGGTGGCGGCTGGGTGGCTCAGTCGTGAGTTCGAGCCCCGCGTCGGGCTCTGTGCTGACAGCTCGGAGCCTGGAGCCTGCTTTGGAGTCTGTGTCTCCCTCTCCCTCTGCCCCTCCTCCCTTCTCACTCTGTCTCTCTAGCTCAAAAATAAATAAAAACATTAAAAAAGGAAAAAGAAAATGAACTTAGGTATCTTAGTAATTTCGCATTTATTTTGTTGGTGGGAGCAGGTGTTTGCTTTGCAGCTTCGCAATAATACCAGGTAAGGGTGAGTCATAACATCAATAAGGTTTTTTGTTTTTGTTTCTGTTTTCTAACGTTGGCAATGTTTTTCAGACAAGGGAGCTTCCAAGTCAGCGAAAAGAAAGTCACTGCTCTGCTGTTTATCTGATTGAGCAGAGGGCCTGAGAGCCCCAGGAGCTGGGAGGGAGTACGGTTTGGAGCAGGTTGGGGAGGACGGGGAACTGTAGGACCCACTGTGGGGACAGGAGAGCAGCGTGCGGGGCCCCGGAAGCCCTTGACTGGTCAAAGTGCCTGTGGGGCTGTCGCTGTGATTTAAAGCTCTGAGAATATAAATTAGCAGGAGGTAGGTGGAGGGTGGATGGTGTCATTCTAGCCCCGAAAGGCCTTCATAAATCAGTGACAGCGGAGCTCCAGCCAACTCCCTTCCAGCTGGTTGCCGGAGGCCCTCCTTCCCAGTCTGCTCAGACAAGTGGAAAGAAGGGACTCCTGAGTGGGTGGGATGCCGCAGCGTGGCCCGCCCTGCCCCTACCTGGGGGATCCGAGCGCCTGGGTTTTCTCTGGAGCTGTAGGCTTTGACGTCGAAACCTCAGAATCCTTGCTCCAGTGGTCGGATTCAGATGCCGGCCTTGGGAGGGATTTGCCTTTGACAGTGGTGGCGATGACGGAGTCTTTAATGAAACAAATTCTGCCCTGTTGGAGAAACACAACGGAGCTCTCTCCCAACGGTGGACAAGAATGGTCTGTTCCTGCCTTCGAGCCTTTGTGCTTTGTTAACAGAACGTCCCTGGCACATCTGTGCTCCAGCGTGCTGCTAAAAGCTTAGCTCTGTCCTCGCACAATACTGGGGGACGCTGTCAGAAGGTCAGCTTAAGTCCCTCATCTAAAGGCGGAGGGAAGCGCTAAAACCCTGCCAAGATCCCGGGGACGTTTCCAGTTTTAAGGTTTAAACTCATTCCCCGCAGCCGGCCTCCCACTTCCACGCCAGCCCACCAACTCCTCCCTCTCGCGAGGGTAGAGTTCTGGGGGTCCAGGGTGTCTTGGGCGCCCGTCTGTGAAGCAAGAGCACCCAGCCAGGGACACCAGGCGCCACGTTCTTTCTCTTTAGTCTCAGTTCTGAGCTCCAGCAGGCTTAGTATTTACGGAAGAACCAAGTATCGCACTGAGGTCAGCTGTGGTCACCTCTGCCCCCTGCACTCACTTCCCTCTCCTGGTAAGCAAGTAGGGCGCGACGTCACCTCTTTAGTAGAAAACAAGGGAGTGGGGGAAGCACGACCTCTAAACGGCTCGTAAGAACTGGGGAATAAGATTCAGATGTCTGTCTGCACCTCGGCCAATGTGCCTTCTTTTCTTCCCGGGAATGCCAAATCCCTGTAAGGAACCATGAGCGGTAACTTACTATATTGCCATTGCCCTGGGCTAGGGTTCCAGGCACCTAGGCTTGCCCCCTTTGTCTCTGTGGGCTGCTCCGCTCAGGGGGTGAGTTGATCTTTTCACGGTGCAGGGGCAGAGTGTCTATTTCTGGGAGGGGAAGTGTATGGGGCTCCCTCTTCACTGTGGCCAACGTGAACCACCTTAACTTTTGGATTCACAAATGCTCTGTTGTTTGTTTGCTTGTTACCAGCGATATAAGAATAAAGAAGGAGCAACAGAGAGACCGAATACCTGGAGACACTGTTTCTGTACACACAGGAGGGCAGAATTTACTTGTTCCTGAAGCATAAAATCTGTCTCCCACAGGGCTTTTGCCTTAAAAAAAAAAAAAAAAAAGTTTGTTTATTTTGAGAGAGAGAGAGAGCAAGTGCGAGCTGGGGAGGGGTCGAGGGAGAGGGAGAATCCCAAACAAGCTCTGTGCTGTCAGCACAAAGCCGATCGCGGGCCCTGATCCAACGAACTGTGAGATGGTGACCTGGGCAGAAATCGAGAATTGGACGCTTCACCAACTAGGCCGGCCAGGCACCTGGGGCTTTTGCTTTGTGTATCTGCCCTTGCTCTGCTACTTTGCGGCTGTGTGGCCTTGTACGGATTACTTTACGTCTCTGTGCCCCATTTTCCGCATCCGATAAAATTAATCATAATATTATCTCATAGGATTGCTGTGAAGACTAAATGAGATAACAACGGGAAGGCTCTTAGAACAGTGGTGGGCACACAGTAAGGGCTCAAACATGTAAACATTTGCCGTAGGTCTATGTATGGCTTTTGTGATTTTTCTTTTAGTCAAGCATCAGCTCTCATTTCTCGTCTTTTCTTTGTGTTTGGATTCAGGCCGTGCGAGCGCAATCTGCCTGCCTTGGAGATCCCTCTATCCGAAAGATCAGTTCCATTTCCGGGACCACCCTCTCAGGATTCCTCTGGGAACCCAGCCGCCGGGCACCGCTCCCCGCTTTCCTCTGGGCTCCAGAATGACCTACGCCAAGCACAGAGCAGTCCCCAGCATGGCTGCCGCGTTCCGGTTTCTTTGTCAATGTGAAGCGTCCTTGTTGCCGGTCGCGTTGCCATCCCAACGCCCTTTCTGTGCTCTCGGAGTGGCCAGCAGGGGGAGCTACGCGGCCGTTTCCGAGCCCCAGGCGGGGCTTTGTGACCGGCCAGGGCTTCTCCTAAGGAGTCCTAAGGACAGTACCTGTGGATCTTAACGTTAGGGAAGATAGAAACCGTCCTGGGCATGGCATGGAGATTCACTGGGTACTTCTGCAGATAGAACCTTAGGAGTCAGAAAGCTGGATGTTCTAGCTGTCGAGAGCTTTGCCGTCAGACATCCCTCTGATGAGATTTCTTAGTTACCTTACCTCCAGCGAGTGGCTTAAACTCTTCCAGGCACGGTTTCTTCATACGAAAAACTGGAGAATCCAAGCTGCCCTCAGGGGGATGCTGGAAGAGTCTCTGTGTGGCTAATAGAGATCTCAGCCACGGAGGCATTCGGGGAATGCGAGGTATCATCGCTCAGTGAAGGCTGAGCCAATTTCGAAGCACCCCGACCAGAATTCTCTCTCTCGGCTCTTTTCTCTCTCCTGGCCCGATGGCCTCCTTTTCTCTCCCTTCAGCTCTGCATTCTCTCCCTGCCTTTCCTGCCTGTAGCTGAGGCCTGGAACCCACGCCGTGGACCTCATCCTGGGCGGCGTCTATCCTCCCCGTTCCTGGATACCTGGGTAGGTGTGAGCAGGGCTACTCCAGGGTCTGGGAGCCTGGTGGTAGTGGTGGTGGCTGTGATGACGGGCACGGCCCCAGCTGGGCCTGAGGACGTCGGGTTTCTAAGGGTCCAGCCCTCAGCTTCACTTTTTTTTTTAAATTAAATATAATTTATTGTCAAATTGGTTTCCATTTCAACACCCAGTGCCCATCCCCACAGGTGCCCTCCTCAATGGCCGTCACCCACTTCCCCTCTCCCCCACCCCCCATCAACCCTCAGTTTGTTTCAGTATTTAACAGCCTCTTCTGGTGTGCCGCCCTCCCTCTCTGCAACTTGTTTTTCCCCCTCCGCGCCCCCCCCCCCCCCCCCCCGTCTTCTATGAAGTTTCTTAGGATCCGCATATGAGTGAAAACATATGGTATCTGTCTTTCTCTGCCTGACTTATTTCATTTAGCATAACCCTCTCCAGTTCCATCCACGTTGCTACAAAAGGCCATATTTCATTCTTTCTCATTGCCAAGTAGTATTCCACTGTGTATATAAACCACAATTTCTGTATCCATTCATCCGTTGATGGACATTTAGGCTCTTTCCATCATTTGGCTATTGTTGAAAGTGCTGCTATAAACATTGGGGTATGAGTCCCCTACGCATCAGCACTCCTGTATCCCTTGGGTAAATTCCTAGCAGTGCTGTTGCTGGGTCATAGGCTAGCTCTATTTTTAATGTTTTGAGGAGCCTCCACACTGTTTTCCAGAGCGGCTGCACCAGTTTGCATTCCCACCAACAGCGCAAGAGGGTTCCCGTTTCTCCGCATCCTCGCCAGCATCTAGCGTCTCCTGATTTGTTCATTTCACAGCCTCACCTCCACTTGGGCACCTGTTCAGGTCTGGGTTGACCCGGGTAGTTTGGGTTGGGGCACATGTGGAAGTCTCCATGCATTCTGTCCTCCGAATCTCAAACGACGCTGCCTTTGTTCTGCAACTGGAGGGCCGGTCTCAATGCTCTCTGTCCTCAGGGATAGGTTTCCTTTGTTTCCATTTGAAACGCCGCGTCTCTTAGTGGACGGATAAAAGCCCTGTGCGTGGAATGACTAACTTGTTTTGGCCCTGGAAGTCCTATGTCCCTGCAAAACCGTCAGTCCCAGGTGGGGCCGGCCACCCCGTGGGACAGAGCATGTAAGTGGTCTCAGGTGGGGTAGCCCTGCAAGAGAGCTCTGTGGCCGTAAGAGTCCCAGGGAAGACAGTTTCGCTCAAGAAAAAAAAAATGTGCCATTTCCTCCCACCACCAGAATCGATGTTGGCCGCACGCAGACATTTCTCGCAGCACCTGATGAATGGGGGATGCGGGCCAAGCTGCTGTCTTCCAGAATTTGGCAGTGAGAGGGGTCAAAGGCGGACCTCAATCCAAAAGAAGACACCTTGAGGGGCGCCTGGGTGGCTCAGTCAGTTGAGCGTCCGACTTCGGCTCAGGTCATGATCTCGCACTTCGTGAGTTCGAGCCCCGCATCGGGCTCCGTGCTGACAGCTCGGAGCCTGGAGCCTGCTTCGGATTCTGTGTCTCTCTCTCTCTCTCTGCCCCTCCCCCGCTCATGCTCTGTCTCTCTCTGTCTCTCAAAACGAATAAACGTTAAAAAAAATTTTTTTTTTTTTTCAAAAGAGGACACCTTGGGGGCGCCTGGGTGGCTAGGTCGGTTAAAGCGTCCTACTTCAGCCAGGTCACGATCTCGCGGTCCGTGAGTTCGAGCCCCGCGTCAGGCTCTGGGCTGATGGCTCGGAGCCTGGAGCCTGTTTCCGATTCTGTGTCTCCCTCTCTCTCTGCCCCTCCCCCGTTCATGCTCTGTCTCTCTCTGTCCCAAAAAAAAAAAAAAAAAAAAAATTTAAAAAAAAATTAAAAAAAAAAAAAGAGGACACCTTGGAATGGCCACCTGCCTCTGTCCAGCAGCCCCTTGTCCAGGAGCCCTCAGGAGCGGGGCACTGGAGCCTTGGCCCCGGGACCCCCGAGGCAAGGCTGCAGCAAGCCCTTCTGGAGAGCGACTCCCGGACCTTTGCCTCTAATTGGCCCCCATTTCTGCACACAGCCATTTCCTCTGCCTGCGGCACAACTCATAAAAAGCCAGGCTTTCTTCCATACCTTTGAAAAGTTCAAAGGAGCCCATATCCTAGGGAGATTTGGCAGCACAGGCACCTGGATCTGAGGGGACTGAGGGCTCTGGGCCGCTCCCCCCCCCCCCCCCCCGCCTTTTACTGCTTGTCAGTGTCAGTGTCCCAGGCTCCAGGGGAAGGGAGGCCCAAACCCACCGTGGCCAGCTCTGCTCTGTTTTATGGGATCAGGCTGTGCTCTTTAACCCTGCCCTGCATTTTGCAGCGGGAGCCCTCGTGGCCACGGAGCAGGTCGCGGAACAGATGTCAAGCCCATCCTAGAGCAAGCGCGTGATAAAGCCAAACTCACTGCTGGTGAGTCGGTCAGCCCTGCTCCGTTCAGAGGCTGCCTCCACGGCTTTGCTCCCATCATGCTTCTGCTCTTTTGTGGGGACCCTTTGTTGCAGTTGGGGGGTGGAGCACGGGCGAGCTTATCTGAGCCCAAGGTGCGGAGGTGTTCAGATTAGCATAGGGTTTGCAGGCTCTCAGGCATAGCTTTTTGGCATTAACTGAACTTGGTTTTTCCCCACTATCCAAATTGGTGATTTTTATGCGGCACCCTCTTAGACACTTACCCTCAACTTCAGACCAACGGTTTCGAGGGGAAAATGAAACGGCTTTGTGCTCTCTATCCCGACTGGCGTCCCTTACGAGGTGTTCAAGAAATGCTTGCTAATTGCACGAATCAAGGCGGCTTATGGAACAGGAACCTGGGATCTTGAAGGGGAGCCTGGTTTTGTTACTTACAGGTGTCTAGACAGAGGATGGGGCTAGATCGGAAGGGGAAAATTTTTATCTACTTTCCTCCCCGCAATGATCTTCGCTCTTTGACTACCCATCAAACCCACTGGTGGAGGAATACGGTGCACTTATTCAGTTGCACTCCCGTGTACGGCGGAAGGCTCGCCAGAACCTTCTGCGTGCCCTGCACCCTACCTTTTGTCCCTCAAGATGCCAATCACCTCAGGATGGCTCAGTTTGCCGGAGATCCAGAACCCAGGCCCTCTGGGTTTTCCTTTCCTCCGGTGTTTGACTGAACCCCTCCTGGAGCCCCAGTGGGCAAGTGCGTGGCATCTGTGTCCACATGATTCGTGGCACCTTGGGCTGGAATGTCTGCCTGTTGTGCCACATCTAGATCGTTGAGGGTGAGGGTGAGAGTTGAGCCCTCCCTTGCCCCCAACACACACACGTACACACACACGCGCGAAGACACAAACATCCACCTACTCTCACCTCTCCCCACCGCCTCCCCGGGGTTGAGTCGGGCTAAGAGAGAAGACAGGACATTTTTATCTGTATTTAATCACCACATTCTCTCGCACAATTACTCTGTGGGATTCTTCCCATGTATGTGGACCAACTGCTCCACGTTGAAAGAGTTTGAGGCAGCAATACCTCTGACGGCTTTCGTAGGTTATTTGTTTGCGTCTCAGACTCCTCTCCTAAATCCTGCTAGGGCACACGTCCCCCCAGCTCCACCCAGGTTATGAATGTCATTGCTGAGCTCTGCGTAACGAGGTTTGAGTTCGGTTTGTCTGGCGACACTTCTGGATGTAATCTGTTCCGTGCAATGAGTCACCAAGGTCAGCATCTCCCCGCGAGGGAGGTTTCTGTGTGGGTCTGGCTTGTTCTCCTGACCAGCCTCTATCACTTCTGAGTGCTGTGAGCTTGGAATTACTGTGACACCTGCCCCTTGGCCCTCCAGCTACTTGGACATACTTTGGCCTGTCTATCAGGACTCGTTTTGAAAAGCGAGTGGGATAGTATAGTAAAACGTCTGATACAGCTTTTCTCACCCGCAGCTGTGACCCACTGGTGACATAAATTTGATGGGTTGTGACCAGCGTTAAAAAAATAAGTAAGTAAAAAATAGAACATATAGTGGTTTTTCTTTGTGCTGATGAAAATGCTAGATGTTCCAAGATTAGTTTGTGGGATGACTGCCCAGCTCGGGAAATATACTAAGACCTCTTGAGGTGTATACTTGAAATGGGTGAATTTTGTGCTACGTAAATCATATAGCAATAAAACGATTTATAAAAAAAAAAAAAAAGATTGGGGCGCCTGGGTGGCTCAGTCAGTTAAGCGTCCGACTTCGGCTCAGGTCATGATCTCACGGTCCGTGAGTTCGAGTCCCGCGTCAGGCTCTGGGCTGATGGCTCGGAGCCTGGAGCCTGTTTCCAATTCTGTGTCTCCCTCTCTCTCTGCCCCTCCCCCGTTCATGCTCTGTCTCTCTCTGTCCCAAAAATAAATAAATGTTGAAAAAAAATTTTTTTAAATAAAAGATCTAGGAAGCAGTACAACTCTGGGCGCCTGGGTGGCTCAGTCGGTTGAGCATCCAACTTCGGCTCAGGTCATGATCTCACAGTTCGTAAGTTCGAGCCCCGCGTTGGGATCTGTGCTGACAGCTCAGAGCCTGGAGCCTGCTTCGGATTCTGTGTCTCCCTCTCTCTCTGTCCCTCCCCCACTCATGCTCATTCTCTCGGTCTCTCTCTCAAAAATAAATAAACATTAAAAAATTTTTTAATAAAAAAAAAGATCAGGAACCCTGAAAAAAAAACCCATCAAGCTGTATGTTTGAGATCTGTGTGCTTTATTGTGGTATGCTAGACCTCAATTAAAAATTAAATATAAACAATGGCATAGAAAAGATCAGAGTACCTCACATGTAGAAGGGCAAGCATGAGTTTTATGAAATACATGTGTCAATGTGTGTGTGTGTTTGTGCACTCGTGCGTGCATTGGGCTACGGTAAGATGTGCTTCCTCCTGTGGATTGTTGCGTAAAATGTTTAAAGCCTAAATGTGTGGCATAGATCGGTCCAGTGAAAGTAGGCATTTAACAATGGTTATGTATCCCCTTCCTTCTTTTCTAGAAACCCAAATTGTGCCCATGTTCAGTCACGGACCTTAGAGTGTGACCTGTTTCTGCCCCAGAGAGCAGAAATTCTGCCTAGCTAGAGAAGCCCCCCTCTTCTGTGTGCACGCGCGCGCGCACGCGCGCGCACACACACGCACACACACACACACTCAATTAAGTCAAGCTGTCTTTTCCAGTTAAATAAACATCACACTCCTGGAAGGAAGAACAAATAGCTGGTCTCTCCCCAAAGAAAATGTGCCTCTGGGCTTCTGGTTTGGAAGGTTTTGTAATGTTTACTTTTCAGTGTTCTCTACTTGACTCTTTCTCTCTTTCATTTGGTTTTCAATACCGCGCGGTTTAAATGAGCTGTCTTAGCGCTGTGACCCCTGGTGGGGGGTTGCTCTGACAGGCACGTGGCTCCCCCGGCCCCTTCCTCCCTCAGAAGTGTGAGTGGTGGAGCTTGTGTCCGGAACCTGGAGATACAGAAGCATGGCTGTTGTGTGGGTGGGCGCGGGGCGGGGGTCTCAGCCACTGCCGCCACCAAGACACGTGTGGACTGCTGTGCCATCCGGGTAAATCGACTAGGTCGTCCAGTCCCCGGTGACCTCATGAAGAGGACCAATTTGCAGGTAGCCCTCTGTTGACTCTGTTTCACCGAGGATGGAAAGAGAGGGTTTCCGTTGCCTTTGGACAATTCTGTTTCTTTTGGTTGGTTGCTCGCGTGACACCTTCCATGACCACTGAGGGGGCTGACACAGATGGGCTGGATGGAGAGACCAAGTTGGGAATGACAGGATGGCAGCTTCTGTTGGCACATTGGCGGGGGGGGGGGGGCCCCCGAAATCGGGGAAATCAGGGAATTATTAGAATTTACTCTGGTTTTGGGGCGCCTGGGTGGCGCAGTCGGTTAAGTGTCCGGCTTCAGCCAGGTCACGATCTCGCGGTCCGTGAGTTCGAGCCCCGCGTCGGGCTCTGGGCTGATGGCTCAGAGCCTGGAGCCTGTTTCCGATTCTGTGTCTCCCTCTCTCTCTGCCCCTCCCCCGTTCATGCTCTGTCTCTGTCTCAAAAATAAATAAACGTTGAAAAAAAAATTAAAAAAAAAAAAAAAGAATTTACTCTGGTTTTGTGAGGCCTGGCTTCAAATTCCATGTCGCGTTATAGAGCAAGATGACTACTGATTTGTGCAATTTACAACTGGCTCGGGAGAGAGGGTTAGTGTCTGTAATTAGCTATGACGAGAAGGCCACGTCAACTCTTTCAGGCGCTTGGGATGCCTGAGTGCCCAGAGCCAGGGTGGATATTTTTATTATTTTTACTTCTTATCTTCTGGTTGTCTTTTGTTTCCCACCAAGTAGATGATCTATGGTGGGTGGTGGGTGGTGGATGGTCAGGGGCGGACAGGGGTGGACATTAGTGGCCGGATCCCAGACCTTGAGGTCCGCCTACCCACTGAGAATCCCGGCCTTGCCACTTATTTGCAGCATATCTTTGTG